CCTAGGGGTGTGCTAGGGAGAGACGCCCCATGAGGAAGGGGCTGGGATACGGAATAAACTCCCCTATGGAGAGGTAGACGCTCCACCCATGGGGGGCCATTGTAGAGACTTTTTCCAAGGAGCAGCAGAGGAAGAGAGTCCCTAGGGCGGGGCTGGAAGAGAGACTCCCTTATCAGGGAGAGTTAGGGGTTTGTGTGTGCATTGGAGTGATGCTAGGGAGAGACGCCCCATGAGGAAGGGGCTGGGATACGGAATAAACTCCCCTATGGAGAGGTAGACGCTCCACCCATGGGGGGCCATTGTAGAGACTTTTTCCAAGGAGCAGCAGAGGAAGAGAGTCCCTAGGGCGGGGCTGGAAGAGAGACTCCCTTATCAGGGAGAGTTAGGGGTTTGTGTGTGCATTGGAGTGATGCACTTTGGTGGGGTAGCCTGCTCCATGGACGTACAAAGAGACTCCTCAAATTATGAGGAGAAAGGAAATGGAGGGTATGGCGTCAGGTCTTGAGTCTTGCCATCCCTGCTTGGGATGAGGGATGTTGTTGGGGTTGTTTCGAGATATATACTAGGGATATTAACTATCGCTTATTTGTGTAAACATGTAGCTACTGGAAATTTCAGCAGTTACACGTTTACATGTGGGTGCCGGGGGGAGAGCTGGGGGGCATTTGAATGCAGCTCTGGAGCTGGCATGCATGCCTCATGGGCACTGGCTCCTACCTCCTTCTTTCTCTCCCTCTTCCTCTCCCCCCCCCCCCCCCCCCCACCCAGTTGCATATAGTCAATATGATTATTTGATAAGCTAAGGCTTTTTGGTTAATCATGTAATCGTCTACACACTAACATGCCTATCCTTTACATGTGGTTGGAGCAGCCCATAAACATCTTTATCCTTCTAAAAAATACTTCTTTAGAGCTCTTCCTCATCATGATGCCTACAAAATATCTGACATCGGTTAGGCAGCTAGCATTCTGATACCAAAGGCTATCACACTCACCAATATTGGCTCATTGTTTTCTTCTGCTCCTCTATTTGTCTGATCATATTCACCTTTTGTAACTTGTCTTTTACCTAGATTGTACATTCTGTGGACGCCAATAGTCTTTTTGTAATGCATTTGCTATAATGAGATGCTGGTCCATGACTGGGATACCTAGGTCCTATTGCAATGCAGATAATATGTAAGACAAATAATTAAAATGGCAGAATACACACCATATCATCTTCCTTTCTAACAGAGAGTCAAATATTATTGTTTATTACTTATATTGTCCACTATTATGGTACTCAGTAACAATCTAGAGCTCTTATTCTGCAAAGAATTAGAGGTGTGCATAATGGCATTATCATAGTTTGGCGGCTTAAATGTAAAGTAAAATGCCATGTAAATGTAAATTTTTACCCCAAGTACTCCTATTGTCTTCATTATATTGTTAATAATGAAAAAAATCTGTTTCTATAGCTTGATTATATTTTAATTATTTAACAGGTTGGAATTCGAGGGCTAGACATAGTTGTATTGGGAGTAGAGAGAAAATCTGTTGCCAATCTTCAGGAAGAAAGAACTGTGAGAAAGATTTGTGCACTTGATGATCATGTCTGCATGGCTTTTGCAGGTATCGGTTATAGAGTTATTGTCCCGTGGAATATTTTATTGCAGATATATGTTAAGAAATATATCACGGAGGTGGTCAGGATAGTTCAGAAATCTGATAAGGGGAAATGCAGGGTTTCACATTTACTATATAGATTTGAATGCAGTGACCAGAAACCATTGTTTAATTAAGTTTTGTTTTGTTTTTAATGTGGCTGGTGGGAAATAATTTGTTCTTTTACTAAACTCTGAACATGTAGGGTCTTTTGATTGACCCTTTCATTTTTTCCCTTTTTGCTCAGGTAGATCATATGATTTGGCCAATTGGGGTAGCAGGCTTCCTGTAGATTGGCTGTAATAGCCTTAAACAGACCAAGAGACAATATCATGCCTGTGACTATCCCCAGCAAAAAAAAAAAAAAAAAAAAAGAGGGGAGGTAATATTGGAAACACACCCATAAATATGGGAGAGATATCATGGGACTGGAAAATCACACCTATCCCATTTGTTCTTTTTTGGGCCCATCGCTTTCTGAAGGGAGAGGGAGAAATACCCTTCTATCATTCCATGCATGAGACAGGCAACTGGTGTAAGGTACAAGGCAATGCTCTGCCCACAGAGTAGATTCGGGGGGAGGGGGCAATTAGACAAACATCCACCTTCTAAAAAGGTTGGAGGAAGAGGAACTCAGTGGTTTGCTTCCCTTTCCTTCCCTATCACTGTTTGCAGGGAGAGCGAAGAAAAGAGAGGGAGCCATAGGAAGACTCTGAAACCTCTCCTTTTTAGGCTGGGGTGGTTCTCCTTTGAGCTCTCCCTCCCATTGTTTGTTTTAGGACTACTGAAGTTTCTATAGCTTCTCCTGTTGGGCCTGCCTCCGCAGATTGTGTGAGTTTGCATAAACAACTGAAACTTCTACCAACAGAATATAAGAAAAAGGGAAAGATCAGTCAGGGTCCTTAAATATTCAAAACGTGTGTGTGTGTGTGTGTGTACACACACATACTCAAACATGATTAGTCATATGCACACTCTAACTACCCTTACTTTATAAAAAGTAGGGATGTTAATGTGTACTTGAGTACACAGTTAATCGATGAACCTGAGCTCATTGGTTAACCCTCTGGTTACAAGCAGCCACACACACCCCGCCCCTGTTGCCTTTGTATCTGAGGCAGTGGGGCAAGCAGGAGCCAGTACATGTGGGGAGCTGACTCCCATGGAGCAGCCTCCCACAGAGGAAACAGTGCAGAGGCAGCAACATACAGGCAGGGGGCAGGGGAGAGCCAGTATTAGCAGGGAACTGGCTTTTAAACCAGCTCCCACTAAGCCAACGGTGCTTGCAGGATTGAGGTCTGAGAGATTAGAGTGGAAGGATATTTTGAAGACAGTATAAGGGTGCATTTTATTCTTGAAAAAGGAGTAAAAAATAAGTCTTTATTCTCAGTTGACCACTTGATAATTAAAGGTACACTGTCAACTTAAATCAAGCATCTGTCTCAAAATGTCTTGCCTACTATTCTTTCAGGGGACATGGAAGATTATTATACCTAAGCAAAGGAGAGAGCAAGGTTTTCATCTTTTGGTTTTTCTTTTCTTCTCAGTTTGTGTGCTTTGGTGTGATTGACCAAACTTTGTGGATGGCCCTTCTGTAGACTGACTCAGACAGAGGAAAATGACATTCACAAAGGAAAAGGGAGAAAAAAACAGAAATCAGTTTGTAAAAACACAAAACTTGGCAAAATGCTCAAAGTAGTTGTACTGTCAGAAACTACTTTTTCACATTGGGCATGTCTACAAAGCAGGGCAAAAGTCAAATTAAGATACTCACCTTTAGCTACTTCAGTTGCATAGCTGAAGTCAACATTATTTAATTAGGCTTTTGGTGCTGTCTACACAGCAGGAGGTCGAAGGAAGAATACTCTTCCTTTGACTGACTTTCCTTATTCCTTGTACAGTGAGGGTTACAGGAGTCAGAGTAAGAAGTCCTCCATCTCAATGTTATTTCAAAATAATGGCTTCCTGTGTAGACATGCACTTTATTTTGAAATAATGTACTGATTCTGAAATAATGCTGCTGTGTAGACATAGCCTTACTTTTTAAATATACTAAACTTCAGTATACCTTAAAGGGAAACTGAAAACTTGATTTGATTTTGCTGCTAATGCCAGTGCTCAATAAATATGTAAACCTTAATCTTAAAAATTTACATGTCCTGAACTGTGCATTTCTTACAACAATGCTTATTTTAAACACTTTTTTTTTTAGAATAATTTGGGTTATATTTGTAGCCTGTATTATGTCTTTGTTAATCAGATTTTGAGCAAATTAATTTTTTGAAACTGAAGTAAAAGCTTCTTAAATGATGCATGTATTGTTTGATAAATAAAGAATATTTTTGTTGTTGTAATATATCTGATAACTATGATTCTGTAGGTCTGACTGCTGATGCTAGAATAATAATTAACAGAGCCCGCGTGGAGTGTCAAAGCCATAAACTTACTGTTGAGGATCCAGTCACAGTAGAATATATAACACGTTACATAGCAACTTTAAAACAGGTAAGTGTCTTGCTTAGTGCTGTTAGTTTTCTATATGGGCCTTTAGATAACACTATTTAAAAGCAAACACACTGCTTCTATTTCACAGCCGTAGAAACAGAAGCCAGTTTCAGGATATGAGTAAAAATGGGAGCGTGGTTAAATTTTTAATAAGTGGACTTTTGAGAATGTAAATACAGTTTGATAGAAGTATTATTAGTATTTTCCACAAGGATGTAGTTTCCATTATTAGCTTTTCTGTTTTGGGGACCATCTGTGAATATCATTCGTGCTCTGCCTCATGTGCTATAGTCTCTTTCATGTCTTTCCTAGCTTAGTTGGAAATGAAAATATATTATTGTATAACAAAAGCGAAGACAAAAAATAAATTAAAAAAAGCTTTTTTCAGATTAGTATTAAATGATGTGACAGGCTGAATTTCAGATAACACTTACAGGTGCAGATTCTTTACTCAAAATGTCCTTAATATTAGCAGAAAATTCAGGAGTAGACTAATCAATCATAAGTCTATGGGGAGATAGCCGTAGAAATTTGCTGATAACAATACCCTGCATTCTATTTGCAATAGCTTCATATATAAAATATTTGAAAGCAATCTGTTTATTTTTAATTCCTATAATTAGTTTATCCTAGTTGCGTACTTAGTGTCTCACTAAAAGCCAGATTCTGCTGTCAGTTACTCCTGTGCAACATCACTACGGCTGTACAAATATTACTCCTGAGAGCATTCTATGACAAAAAAATAAAAATTTTGCACACTGTATTTTAAAATTCTGCAAGTTTTATTTGTCAATAAATAAATTCAGAGGCTCCAGCACGACAGTAGGGAGCACAAGCCACTGGCTGCACGAAGGTGGGAGATTACCCTGCAACTCCCCCACTTCCAACCCCTGAGACATAGACTCACTGATGAAGCTGCACTTGATCCTGGTATAAAACAAGGCCTGTGCCTGCCCTGGAAACACCCTGGGCACTGCCCCTCTATCACAGGTGAAACAGTTGGGTGGCAAACAGGCTTAGCTAGGCATGATTCAAGTGGGGAAATTTAGGTGTGCAGTGAGAGGGTTTCTGTGGGGGGCAATCTAGGTGTAAGAGGATACGAATGCACAGAGGCTCATCGGGGGAGTGTTTCCAGGTACAGGGGCAGTGGGACTTTGCAGAGGCTTCCAGATGAAGATGGTTGGGGCTCAGCGGGGGCAGAGGACTGGGGTAATAGGCCTGGGTGGGGTGGGAGTCTGGTTGCAGCTAGTTGGGGGTTAGTTGAGTGGACATCTGAATATGGGCACTGAAAGTGATGCAGGGGATAGGGCTTGTCGAGGGGGGGGTGTACTGAGTGCAGGGAGTTGAATGGGGGAGTAGTCTGGGTGGCTCCAGGGGCTGAGATTCAGTGGGGTGAGGTTTAAATATGGAGGGCTAGGGAGTTTCTGGATATACCGGATGAAGCTTGGCAGGAGTATCTGGATATGGGAGGTCCAGATGCACAGGGGTTTGATGGATAGAGCAGCAGCTCCCCTGTACGGTGACCCTGATGAGGTGCAATGGGGGGCAGGAAGCAGGGGAGGAGGCTGAGCTGCTTTCATCTGGGGGATGGTTTGCAACAGCTTCAACTAGTCCTTGCAGGGGAAGAAGAAGTCTTGTTCTTCCCTGATTCCAGCCCAGCAGGGATAAGCCTCTAATTCCAGCTCAGGGTCAGAGTCACTGCCTAGGGTGTCCCTAACCCCACACTGATTTATTTTTCCACTGGCTGCTCCAGGTGCCTAATAAAATTACCTGCACTGATAGTGTGTGTCTAGACTACGGGGTTTTTTAGAAAAAAGTAGCCTTTCTTCGAAAAACTTCACCTGCATCTTGGCTGCATCCATGTTCTTTCGAAAGTAAATCAAAAGAATGCGGCAGTTTTTTCAATCACGGTAAACCTCATTCTATGAGGAATAACGCCTTTTTTCGAAAGTACTCTTTCGAAAAAAGGCGCTGTTGAATGCAAACTGCTTTTTTTGAAAGAGTAGTGTCTAGACTCTCTTTCAAAGAAGTAGCTCGCTTTTTCGAAAAATATGCTTGTAGTCTAGACTCTCTTTCGAAAAAGGTTTTTTCAAAAGCTTCTTTCGAAAAAGCCTCTTTCGAAAGAGGCTTGTAGTCTAGACATAGCCATAGGGAATTGTGCATGACTGCTCTTGAAGCTTCTCTTTGCTTCCCTGTCAGAAGGACATTTTTCTGCAGAGAAGCAAAGAAATCTGTGGGGGACATGAATTCTGCGCATGCACAGTGGTGCAGAATTCACCCAGTAGTAAAATATAACACAGGGCAGAATTTTATCCCAAAATATGTAGCAATTGCATTCTCCTAATAGTATGTTATTAATAATCAGTTAAACTGCTGCATAGATCCTTTTCAGTTTTATGCTATTTAAAAATGTTACCAGTCTAGCACATATTAACTTCATGGAGCGTTAACATTTTACATTTTTTTTCATAGCGTTATACACAGAGCAATGGACGTAGACCTTTTGGTATTTCTGCTTTGATTGTGGGCTTTGATGATGATGGTAGTCCCAGACTGTATCAAACAGACCCATCCGGTACATATCATTCTTGGAAGGTAAATTCGACTTAATTCATAAACTATATTCCAAAAATGTATATATCTTGATGCAAAGATTTTCATGGACAGTGTATTACACTGAAGTCTGATGTTTCATTTTGTAGTGTGGATCCACAGAACGAAAGAATCTGTTCCCTGCTTTCAGCAAGCTAGTTTCAGATATGTGAGCCATTAAAACTAACTTAGGGTACTTTACACTGGAATAAAAGACCTGGAACAAAGCCGTGGTCTTGGATCAGCTGACTTGGGGCTGCAGGGCTAAAAATTATTGCATATGTATTTGGCCACAGATTGGATCTGAAACTTTGCTTCCCCTTATCCCCAATCACAGGGGTTCCATCTCAAGCCTGAACGTCTGCACAGCAGTTTTATAGCCCCACAGCCCAAGTCACCTAACCTGGGGGAGTGGAGGGCTTCTGGTGTTGAATTGCTGTGTGGATGTACCCTTAACCTTGTAGTTAAAGTAGCAGTGAATCTACAACAAAAATAAGAAAAATACTTTAAAAAATATATACAACGGCAAACATGCTGCATGGTGGTTGGGTATGTGGTGTCCCTGATT